TATAAAATAGAGGTTATATCAGCGTTCCTTTTTTTTTTTTTTTTTTAAAGAGGAAGTAACTAAACGGCAATGGAAGTACATTGAACAGTGTGGTACGCCAATGCAAGGCAGGTGTTCTGTCTGAGAGAATGGGTGAGAGTGTGGGCTCCGAGGTCAGACAGCCTGGGTCCAATCCCAGCGCTTCTCCTGACATGCCTGAATGAACTGAAGCAGGGTATACAAGTGTTCTCATCCATTATTTGAAGATGATAACAATTTGTCTATGGGTTGCTGTGAGGATTAAAGGAGTTAATACACACTGTATCTGGCTTTCATCTGTTTTTCAAACAGATATTGTCCAGACTTGGAAAGCTGTACAGATGTATCCAAATAAAATTAGATCAGAGAAAGATGAAATGCATCTCTTGTCCCTGTGGCCACAATTCTTAGACTAGAGGCAGTGGCAACGCATAAGTGTCCAAGAGAAGGAAGTTTACGACTTGATTATAAGACACAAGCATTCATTAAATCATTTTCCGGGCATCTTCTAAGTGGCAGGTGCTGAGTGTGTAAAAATAAATCAGAGGGAGTAGCTGTCTTCTAGGAGCTCACAAGGAAGTGGGGCAGGACAGTTCATGGGAGAAGGTTTTGTGGATTCTTGGATAGACGTGAAAACTAGCTGAGCACAGAGATGGAGGTGAGCACAGGAGAGACACTGCACTGACCTGGTGAGCGCTGAGATGAAGGTGCGAGTAGGTGCTCAGCAGGTCTAGGAGAAACTCAGACTGACTGCCCAGGCTAGGATCAGGATGCGTCATGCTCTTGAGCTGAATCTTGTGGAGTGAAGAGGAGTTTTCCAAGAGGAAGCCACAGAGAAAGATACCACTAAACCGCCCTGTGGACAGTTGTTGCCACTTGGTTTTCCAGCTGGGCGCGTGCTGGGGTTTGAGTTACTTCCAGGCTCTTGGGTCTGTTTGCCCTCTCCTATGTGAAAAGTAGTTCTCCTGGGCCTTTCCTGGGCAAAATGTTCAGAGAGGTTTAGAGCTATACTGTCTAGCTATGGTAGCCCTGAAACACAAGTGGCTTTTCACATCAAAATGAATCACAAATAAGAGGTGTATCCCTCAGCTGCACTAGCCCCATTTCAGTGCTCAGTAGCACATGTGGCAATATTTTCATTATCGCAGAAAGTTCTAGGGGGAGCCTTGACATCACACAGAGAGAGGAGTGGGACCTCCTCCAGCTGTGACGGATCCCTATGCTGGTGCTGGTGTGCAGGCTTTCAGGAATTTCAGTTCCTGCTCTGCCTCGGGCTCTTCAGGGCCAGATGCTGCCCATCAGACCTCACATAGTAACATCTGCTTTCTTCTGGGCTACCAGAGTTCTGCCAGTCCCTGCCTGGATTCAGCTCTATAATCTACAGACTGCTGTCCGGGTGAAAATCTGGTTCACTGAACTGATGGACTAGAATATTCTAGCCTGCGCAACACAGTGAAACTCCATCTCTACAAAAACTTGGCCAGGTGTGGTGGCATGGGCCTATCCAGGAGGTCAAGGCTGCAGTGAGCCACGATCATGCCACTGCACTCCAGTCTGGGCCATGGAGTAAGATCGTGTCTGTCTTAAAATTCTTTATTTACCCTTTTCACTTGCACAGCAATCCTGTGACCTCAGATTTGATTCTTTTAAGACGAGTGGAGACAGCAGGTGAGAGGGAAGCGGCACCAATGTGTCGTGGCCTTTAGGGGCTGGAGTGAAGGCCCCTGCTTCAGAATTCTTAGAGTTGTGCAAGGGGCAACTCAGAGGATAAGCACTATTAAAAGGTGAACTGAGGCCAGGCACAGTGGCTCAGCCCTATTATCTCAGCAGTTTGGGAGGCTGAGGTGGGCAGATCATTTGAGGCCAGGAGTTTGAGACCAGCCTGGCCGATATGGTAAAACCCTATCTCTACTAAAAATACAAAAATTAGCTAGGCATGGTGGTGGGCACCTGTAATCCCAGCTTCTCTTCTCAGGAGGCTGAGGCATGAGAATTGCTTGAACCCAGGAGTCGGAGGTTGCAGTGAGCCCAGGTTGTACCACTGTACGGCAGCTTGAGTGACAGAACGAGACTGTTTAAAAAAAGAGAGAAAACGTTGATTGACTTTGCAGTGATCAATATCTAACAAACACTGGATTTTGATTTTGTGCTCAAGAATTCCCTATCCCAGCAGATGCAGGTCATAGCTTGGCATTGATTACAGCCAGGGCACCGCAAATGCACATGCTGCCCCTTGATGGGTTCATGACAAATTGTACAGTGACCTATGTATTTAGCTCTTCCAAGCCAGTTTGCTGTTCAGGAATAGTAATCCTCTTATAAAGCAAAAAAAAAAAAAAAGCAAAGACAGAAACTACCTCTTGCATCAATCAAAGCCTTATCTCCAGGGCACTTCCCTTTTGAACCTGCCCTCTGTCCCATGGTGTACAAGGAGTCTCCACGATGATCTATGCTTTGCCACAAACACATTTGATTGTGACCTGGTGTCCCAGGAGATTACATGGTGCCAAGATCTGTGTATAAAGCTAAGAGGCTTTTGGAAACTTTGAGTTATAGTAACTCTATGGCCTGATCTTAAAACGAATTTGACCTTAGTTATCCCAGGTTTGGTTATAATTTTCCAGAATAGCTTTTATTTTAGGAATCCAGATTTATCTGGGTAACTTCCAGATGTCATAAATTATAACATCTGCCCCAACTGTTGAAACAGCCTGGAATTTCACAGTGAGCCAGCAGTCTAGGAGGAGGGAGAAATCTTTTTCCAGAATGCTGCTGCTTCTCCAAACTTGTTACCTTGTTTCTCAAAGGGACTTTTCAGGGTCATTGAAAAACATCCCTGGGTTTCAGAGTCAGTCTTATACAGTGTCTTTAGAGACTTCTCCTGTGCAGTCCCTCCATGGGCTGGTACCTGGCGCCTTGTTTCAACGTATGGTTGTCATTTGTAATTTATCAGTGGGACCAGGGATGCTTAGGAAGGGAACATAGAGAAATGGAAGCAGCCGGCCTGTATCTATTGGAACTTCGATAGCCATGATTTGAGTACCCAATGTGGATAGCGGAGCATCTGAACCAAGAGGCTCAGTCAGTGTCCATGGTGCCTGCAGTGTCTGGTGGTCTGTCTCAGCGGGGAAGGGGTGGAAAAGCAACTGGACATGATGTGTGCGATGCACGTACATGAGTCATCTGCTGGGAATGAGTGTAACAGAGCCGCAGCCCCTAGGAGCAAGGCCATGGTCTGTTTCAGGGACACTGACTATCTGCAAGTGGGGGAGGCTGTCAGGCCTTTTCACCCACTCCCAGCTCTTACCTGCAGGTCTCACAGTGGGTCGACCTTCATACACCAGGACTGTGCAGTAGGGCACCTGGGGTCTGTGTCCTAAATCGGAAACAGGAAAAGAGGCAGTAGAAGGGCTGGTTGGTTGATCTCGGCTAAGAGAAAACCAACAATTTTTATTTCTTAATTTTTTAAATTGTTCTGTAGGTTCTGGGGCATGTGCAGATCATGCAGGGTTGTTGCATAGGTACTTACATGACAAGGTGGTTTGCTGCCTTCACCCACCCCCGTCACCTCTCCGGCATTTCTCCCCATGTTATCCCTCCCCCAACAGACCCCAGTGTGTGATGCTCCCCTCCTTGTGTCCATGTGTTCTCATTGTTCAACACCTGCCTATGAGTGAGAACATGTGGTATTTGATTATAAAATCATCCTCTCATTAAAGGTCTGTTTACAGAAAAGAGAATAGAAATGGTTTTATATTTTACTCTGGAGCCAGTTCACTTCCTAATTAACTGTACTAACAAGGACAAAGGGCTGTGGTGGCCCCTTACCTTTCCATGAGGTGGTTCTGTTACTGTTTTGTTTTCCTAATAATAAGGTACTGAGTATCAACAGGGAGCCAATTGTGGAACAAGAGAAGGCAAGAGCTTTGTCTGCCGAAATGAAAAAGGGCACACGTAGAATGCTGTTCCTCCCTCACAGATCACAGCTCACTGAATAATTCATTGGCTTCTCCCTCTTTCCAAGATGTGTTTCTGCTCTTTCTATGAGTTTTACAGCATTATCTATTCATAGATGAATTACGATGGGAATAAAAAATTTAGAACATGAGTCAGACCTCATGAGTTTGGACTAATTGGGGAAAACGCTGGTCTGGAGTAAGAGTGAATTCATGAGGCATCTAAGCTGTATCTCTATATAACTTAATATATGCATATAAAGACATGTATATGAAGACACACACATACATATATAGTTTTATTCCCTTAAATGCTAGTGTAGTATCATTTAGCAGTAGCTACAGTCTAAGGTACTTTATAGAACTGAATCTGACTCGGCTCTGTCACTAAATTGCTGAACCTCCCACACCAGGGAGTCTCAACTTCAGCACTACTGATATTTGGGGCTGGACAATTCTTTATAGTATGGGGCTGTTCTGTGTATCACAGGCTGTTTAGCAGCATCCCTGGCCTCTATCCATTAAATGCTAGTAGCATCCACCCCCCGCCATGACAACCAAAGATGCCTTTCAGACACTGTCCTGGTTGACAACCACTGTCCTCGACCAAGTTAAATCACTCCCAGGGCCACTGAGTCCTTGTTGGTAAACTAAGGTGGCCTAGGGAGAGTCTCTTTAAATCCCCTCCCAGATCTAACACTCCAAGGATGGCCATCAAGGTGTCCTGCTAGACCCTCATAAACCCTCTAACACCTGTGTTGCTATACATGGGTATATGAGTGGAAAATATTCTTAAGGTTGACATTTAAGCTCTCACATATACAGTTTGCCTCTATAACCTATTCTTGTCTCATTAGCAAATACCAGAAGAACATTTAACCGTATTCCTAAGAAGCCCAACTTAAAATTGCTCTTGTTGTGTATTATTTAGGTGTCACTGACTCTTTATCCATGCAGCTGGATTTAACAGAGGAGAGTTTGGGTAATGAGTTGGCTGAAATACCTGCCTTTTTTGCTTTGCCACAGGAATTCTCACACTCAAGAAAGCAAATGAACTACTTCTGAGCACAGGTGTGCCCGGCAGTTTCCTCATCCGAGTCAGTGAAAGGATCAAAGGCTACGCCCTGTCCTATCTGTCGGAGGATGGCTGTAAACATTTCCTCATAGATGCCTCTGCAGACTCCTACAGCTTCCTGGGTGTGGACCAGCTGCAGCATGCCACCCTGGCAGATTTGGTGGAATATCACAAGGTAACGATGCCTAACCTCACTTTGCCTTGTGAGTTACTGTCTTGTAGCAGCTCTAACAATGAAAGACAATTACGAGGAAAAGGACCAGGACAAGTGCTGCAGGGATTGTTCTGGTTAATTCTTCCTGATAATCGGGATTTTTAATTGTAATTCCTTTATAATAGAAACTAGTGCCTCTTTAAATACTCAGGGAACACCACTGGGGCAGAGAATACAAGAGATGCTTTAAAAAAAAAAAAAAAAAGAAAAACGGTACCCACATGGATCACATATGACAACAGTCCCGACCTTTTCGACACCAGGGACCAGTTTCCTGGAAGACAATTTCTCCATGGACTGGGGGTTGGGGGGTATGGTTTCAGGATGATTTAAGCAAATTATATGTATTGTGCATTTTGTTTCTATTATTATTACATTGTGATATATAATGAAGTAATTATACAGCTCAACATGGTGTATCATCAGTGGGAGCCCCAAGTTTGTTTTCCTGCAACTAGATGGTCCCAACTGGGGGTGATGGGAGACAGTGACAGATCATCAGGTACTAGATTCTCAAAAGAAGCACACAAGCTAGATCCCTCACGTGCACAGTTCACAATAAATTTTGTGTTCCTATGAGAATCTAATGCCACTGATGGGACAGGAGGCAGAACTCGGGCAGTAATGTAAAGAACAGGGAGAAGATAGAAATACAGATGAAGCTTTGTTCACCTACTGCTCACCTCCTGCTATCCCAGTTCCTAACAGGCCACAGACTGGTACTGGTCCGTGGCCCTGGGATTGGGGACTCCTGACATATGAGCACAGTCTTAAGTTAGAACTCAAGCCCTAGAGGGAAAGAGAGTACCTGGCAGTGTGTGGATAAGAAAAATGCCTCTTTGGGCAGATCACCTGAGGTCAGAAGTTCAAGATCAGCCTGGCCAACATGGTGAAACCCTGTCTCCACTAAAAATACAAAAAAAAAAAAAAAAGACCCAGGCATGGTGGCAGGCACCTGTAATCCCAGCCACTTGGGAGGCTGAGGCATGAGAATCCCTTGAATCTGGGAGGCAGAGGTTGCAGTAAGCCAAGACGGCACCATTGCACTCTATCCTGGGCAACAAGAAGGAAACTCCACCTCAAAAAAAGAATAAGTGCCTCTTAAGATGATCACAAACCATGAAAGCTTTGTGTAAGTCAAGGGTAGGCAGGTGCTAACGTCCTCTGAGGAATTAGGAAGAGCGCCTGGTTGCTACTCACACTGTCTGATACTGTCCCTTCTGATTGACAGGAAGAACCCATCACTTCCCTGGGGAAGGAGCTGCTCCTCTATCCCTGTGGTCAGCAGGACCAGCTGCCTGACTACCTAGAGCTGTTTGAGTGACAGCCTTTACTGGGGTCATCCTCATTCTCCAGCTGGGCTTTCCCCTGAACAAACACCACTAAAACATTTATGTGTGAAGCCAAAATCACCGTGTAGCAGAGCCAATACTGATCAACCAGAAGTATCCGTGGAGTCCTCATTGACACCTCTCTCCTGCACAAATACTGGAGTTCAATGTCAAGAGAAAATGACCTCTGCTCCTATGCACTCTAAAAGTAAAGGGAGAAAAGTCCCAATTTCAGCAACTACCGATTATGAAGGAAGGGTATGACCTTAATGATGTACATAAGATAAAGAAGAAATAGAAAACTTTTAGAAATTAAGGTATACTTGAAAACCAGTATCTTTCTGTACTATCATAAGACCACTGCACTCCTTCTATCATCTGGAGGTCTTAGGGGCCTGTTGCTACAAAGTTCCATGTTGGCTTTGAAATGCTGGCAAAAAAGCCTGTCCTGGCTGAGATGATGCTTGAAACACACCTCACTTATTGTACATGTTGGAACCAGGACATGAGAGACATAGAAAAACAGAAGTCATGAATGTAAATGGAGTGAGAAGTTTTAAAACATAGGATAAGAAGCTTAACATACATAAAGATACATATGGACTGCAGGAAAGTGAGCAAATGTCCCTGAGTTTGTTTCCTTGTTCTGGAGAATGGGGCCAGGGCTTCCCTGGCCTCCTCTGGCTCTACTCCAGAGCACACCAAATGGATAAAGCACCTGCACATGTATTTTTTTAATAAATAGTATATAGGCAAGAACAGAATAAGCAGGCTGTTTGGATGCTACTTGCGGTTGAACTGTGTTCCCTTCAAAATATTGGTGAAGTCTTAACACCCCATTCCCATGAAATTGATCTTGTTTGGAAATAAATAGGGTCTTTACAGACACAGTCAAGTTAAGATGAGGTCACACTGGATTAGGGCATGCCCTAATTCCCATGACTTGCATCCTCAGGAGAAGAGAGAGGTTTAGAAATAAAGGAAAATGCAGCGGGATGACAAACGGGACAAGAGGCAGATTGGAGTGATGCAGCCACAAGGGAAGGGACACCAGCAGAAGCCAGGGGAGAGGAATGGGACAGGTTTTCCCCAGAGCCTTAGAAGGAAGCATGGCCCTGATTTCAGAATTCCAGCCTTCACAACTGTGAGAATAAATTTCTGTTGCTTTAAGCTACTGAGTTCATGATGATTTGTTACTGCAGCCCCAGAAAGCTAATACAGTCGTTTACGTAACTATGTAACCTGACACACAAGATTGACCCATTCATTGCTGTCCCCTCCACCATTCTCATAATGAAGTAGAAATGGGATATAAGAAAAACCTTCCAGCCAGTTCTGTTTAGCCCTGGGTCACCTATTTCTCCAATCAGGAATCATATGCCCTGCTGCACCCCAACCTGCCACCTCCCTTGGTCCAGCCCCAATCGGGGGACAGCCTCTGAGCCACTGGAGATCATTTTTCTGGGAGGATGGAGATTGACTAGTACCTCTGGCCTAACTATGTAGGTCAGCACTCTTTTACATTGCCTTTTAATGAAAGCAGAACGATATAGCAGTGTGATTATGAGCTTGTTGGTTGCGTACAGCACTCACTGACTATAAAATGTAACCAGAAAAGGGGATGGTTGGCGTGTGTATTCTAATGAGAAAATATGATGATGATTTTTAGAGACAGGGTCTTGTTCTGATACCCTGGCTGGAGTGCAGTAGTGAGATCATGGCTCACTTCAACCTTGAACTCCTGGCCTCAAGCAATCCTCCTGCCTCAGTCTACCAAAGTAGTAGGATTACATATGTGAGATACTATGCCACGCCAAGATAGCTTTTAAACGTAGATCATTGTTTAACTCTTTCTTGAAATGTTCCATGTGGTTTATGCCATTTAACTATTTTAAGGACCCATCTCTTAGCTTTTGTTTCTATGATTCAACAATCAAGGCATTATTGCAAAACTTCTTATCTGTTCCCACCATTTACTGTGTAATCTTGGACAGAACATTTTATCTCTCTGAACCTCATTTTTTGCTTCTGAACAAAAACTGATTTAACTGGGTGATCTTTATTATTTTCATCCAATTCTGAAATTTTAAGTTTCCAGTGCTTCTCACTGGAATGAATAGAAAATACCCCCTTGTCACAAATACTTAGGAAGATGTAAGATTCCAGTACCACACTGATGTGGTACTTTGGGAGGCCGAGGTGGGTGGATCACAAGGTCAGGAGTTCAAGACCAGCCAGGACAATATGGTAAAACCCTGTCTTTACTAAAAATACAAAAATTAGCTGGGCATGGCGGCATGTACCTGTAATCTCAGCTTCTTGGGAGGCTGAAGCAGAATTGCTTGAGCCTGGAAGGCGGAGGTTGCAGTAAGCTGGGATCACACCACTGCACTCCAATCTGGGTGACAGAGCAAGACTCCTGTCTTGGGGGGGAAAAAAAAAAAAGCTTCCAGTACCATTCCGTGCCTACAGTTATCTTGTATGAAATAAGCATGGCCATATCTAGATATAACTACACAAAGCAACATCCCACTAAAAGAAGATTGAGAAGATGATGTAGAAAACAGGAAGTGACCCAACTGAATTAACCCCGTATTACAAAGGGGAGCAGATGTGGGTTCTGGACTAGTTTATCCTGTTGGTTGCTGATAGAGGCATACACTATCCAGTGTTGGATGATATGATGGTATGAGTAATACTTGAAATTCTTAGGGAAGGAGAATGGTTTACAGATTTCAGAAACTGATTTCAACTGAATGGGGTTCAGGAGGCCTGAATTCTCACCCTAGCTTGCTGTGGTCTCAGTGCTACTATGTCTGTCCTGAGTTATGGTCTAAGGTGAAGATGTCCAAACTCTGATCCTGGTCTCCTCCTCCTGTTGCCTCCTCAAGCCCAGCTCCTTGACCTGCCTGCCCAAGGTTTCTGGATCTGGGATGTTGCCCTCATGTTACTGATTAGGTTCTCAAGCCTAGGGGCTTGAGATCTAGTCTGCAGACCCTGGCTCCCTGGGACTATGCCCAAATGCTACTCCCTGCACATCTAGATTCTTCTCTCCCCCAGCTCGCAATACAATTCTGAAATCTTTCTCCTAGTCATCTAAGATTTTCTGGCTGCCGCCATATTTCCAGATGCTCACAGACACATCGAGCCTCTATCAGGTCACCTGTAAGGCCCCTGCTTCTGGCCTCCTGCTCTACCCTGCTGCAGTAAGATGCCCGAGCCCAGGATTTTGAGACCAGCCTGGACCACATAGTGAGACTCCATCTCTACAAAAAAGACAAAAATTAGCCAGGCGTGGTTGGCATGTGCCTGTAGTCCCAGCTACTCAGGAAGCTGAGGTTGGAGGATCACTTAAGCCCAAGAGTTTGAGGCTGCAATGAGCTATGATTGTACTACTGTACTCCAGCCTGGGTGACAGAGTGAGACCCTGTCTCTACAAATAAAAAAGACAAAAGAAAGTAAGCTCTCTATAACTAGTAATTGGATGATTGAATTTTCCTTTTCCTAATGAATTATGAGTCCAAAAAAGCCGGGATCCTTGTACTCCAACCTTCCCTTTTTTCAACTCAGTTTATGTAACCAATGGGCTGTGCATCCCCTATCTTTGTTTCCTAGAATTTCTGGGATGGATTTTAAGAAGGAAAGGGAACTTCTGAAGAGTACGGGATATAATGACAAACCACACAATACATTCATTTACCAGTTGACCTGCAGATAATCGGCTCCCTTGGTCTGTATCTGAAGTGGCACAGAGGGGGCTTTTTCTAATGTCTGATTTTGACAGTCGCCAAATTAGTAGTAACCAGTTTTTACCCCCAAATCAGCCATAGTCAGAATTGGCTCTGTTGCCCTGGGATTCCCGATTACAAATCCCCAAGTATTTGCCTCCCATTTGGACCAGGAGACATGACAAACCCAGCTCCCTCTGTAATGAACTCCACCTGTCTCCCAGCTAGGACAGGCAATGCCCTTGCCAAGCAAGCTCCCCCACACTCTGTCCTCCTCAGTCTAAATCAGCTTTGGCTTTTCTTCAACTGGAGGGATGTTTCTTGAGGACATCTTCCCACCAATGGAGTCCAGATCCTGGGAGCCCTCCATGGCCCTGCACCTCAATAATCAAACAGAATGGCAAATGCCTTGTCTTCCAGGGGTGCCCTTCCAATGGTGTGGCAGCGCTAGAGAAAAGCTTCCCAACCAGGCCACACCCTGCTGCTCCCGGCAGCCCCGCATGCCAGGGCTGTGATTGTGACATAGCTTCATTTGAGGCTAATAAAGAACAAGTTATGCCCTCTTGCCCCGGGGTGACTGTGGAGGCTGGAGAAGGTTTTTGAAGGAGCACAGTCCTACTTCTCTTCCCAGAGCAATGCCCGCCTTTCTCAGACTGTGACCTTCCCCAAGGCAGCCCTGCCCTGCCCCTCCTCCCCTACGGTTCCATAGGGCATTTTTCTAGAATAGTAAACAAGCCAGACACAGCCGAGGAGACACTGAGGGTGACTACTGCAGAGGGCATGTTCGAAGGATCATGCACAGTTTGAAAGGCACCTTTGCAGACAGGAACGAACATATTCTGTATGTTGAATAAAATCTCCCATCAAAACCTCCCAACCAACTGGCACCGTCCCCATCGTTTTTGGCAGCAACAGCAAAGCACTGAGCCCTGCCAGGAGAAACAGCTTTGAATTAAAATATAAAGCTAATCAGAATATGGATCACACAAAGCTGCCAGCTCTCTGATGTGTGTGGGGAGTAAAATACCCCTGCCCTGCTAAGAAACTGCCCAAGGTCATTATCTCTAATCAGTAGTAGTTCTCAGAAACAGTATCAAGTCTTTCTTTTAAAAAAGCAAGTATTTCCACCTGCTGTCCCCTCCTACTCAAATCAAATCACTTTCAATGTAGCATGCTGGAATTCTGCATGAGAGCCAGCTTCCAGGGCTTTGATCCCAAATGGAGCCCCAATACTGCTGGTCATTGCACAGTGGCTGGAAGGTGTGGCCAAGTGCCTTAGCTGTTCCTGGCTCACTGTGTCAGCAGGTTCTCCTTCCTTGTTAGATTTCTCAGGTGGGACTAGAGAGCAGAGAAACGGGGCGGAGGGGCGAGGGGGGTAACCAAGGAACAAAACGAACAAGCTGGGGACTCACCCTAGGCCATAGCTCACTCCCGCAGACCTTCCAATCCATCTGGAGCTGGCCATGTGATGGGTCATGGTCACAGGCAACGACAGTCATATGAGCCCTGAAGCTGGCTACTTGCTGGCTGGATCCCTGGGCAAGCTCTTCAACATTTCTGATCCTCATTTTCTGCACCTGGAAAATCAAAGTAATGACATTATCTAGCTTAGAAGGTTGGGGTTATGAATATAAGGTTCCTAGCTATGATCCCGACTTCAAAAACCTGTAAAGCCTCCCAACTGCCTGGGCGGGGTACCAACTCCATATTACTGAGCCTGGAATGTAAGGCAGAAATGACCCATTAAATTTCACCCTTCTAGTAACCCTTCTCCTCAGATAAAGTTTTCAGAATGACAAAAACAACAGTGTTCCCAGTGGCTTCATAATCTTTATTGTATTGTCCATAATGGCCATCTGATTATTTCCAAGCAGTAGTGGGCATACCAAGAAGCTTAACAGACACTGTCAGATGCACAGTTGTACGTGAGGAATTGTGTTGAATACTAATAACTAAATACCTACCGTGTACCTGACATGTCCTAAGTGCTTTGTACATATGAACCCATTTAATCTTTAAAACAATTGTGTGATATACAAGGGATTGCATCCATCACCCTGAATGAGGAGACCAAGGTACAGAGATGTCGAGGGACTCCTTTAAGATCATGTAAGTTGCAAGTGAAATAACTGGAATTTGAACCCAGATTGCCTGGCTGGGAAAACTGATATCAGCTACTATACTGCACTGAACCTTGATTAGGTACAATTAGATAAGAGGATTTTTCCTGAAACAAAGACATTAGTAAAATTAGTTTCTGGGTAGCTACTTTCCTAGGCCTGATCTTCATCACGGATGTGGAAAGGGGCAGTCGACCACATTTACAAATACAAAGAGGGGCTAGGAAGTAGATGAATGCAGAAGAGACAGAGCCCAGGGAGCCCAGGTATGTCACTTGGAGGCAATGATGTGTTGATAAATATTTAACGATGGGCCAAACCTAGGGGCCTTGGCGGGGATGGGGGGGTGTTGGTAAGGATGGCTGATTTGCAGCATGCAGCATTTGCCAGTTGCCAGTTTCCGTGGTGTAAATATTACCACCAGGATGGAATTCAAGCTACCAGCCTGTCAACACAGACTGAGGACTGGCTCCCACAAGGCTATCCCAGTACACCGCTGCCTGGAGAAAACCCCCATATATTAGAGAGCCCAGTTCAGTAAAATGGCCTGCAGTGGTCACTGGGCAATTTAGGGATAGGAACAGAGAGAGTAGAGACTTACTGCTTCCTCAGCATCATCCTTGTGCACGTGCAATGGGACTGGGTTCTTCAAACCATTGTTCCGGTACTGCTTTCCTTTGCTGAGTTTAAATTCCAGCCTCCGAATTCTAATGTTTTGGCGGGCCCTTCTACAGCCCATCTGGTATACACGTCTTGGCAGGCAATGGGGTATTCTCCTCTAGCACGTTGTTGAAGAGGGCCTCTACCCTTTGATAAAACTGTTTTACCTGAATAAGCTTAAAAAAGAAAGGCAGACCATAGTTTAATATTATGCTGTTTCATCTGCTCTTCAGCTACTCTCCACAACTTAAAAACACACACACACACACACAATTTTTCACTACACAGCCATAAAAAAGAACAAAATCATGTCTTTTGGAGCAACATGGATGGAACGGGAGACTATTATCCTAAGCAAATTAACACAGAAACAGAAAATGAAACACTGCATGTTCTCACTTATAAGTGGGAGCTAAATGATAAGAACCCATGAGCACAAAGAAGGGAACAAAAGACACCAGGGCTTACTTGAGGGTGGACTGTGGGAGGAGGGTGAGGATTGAAAAACAATAGGTACTGCGCTTATTACACAGGTGACAAAAGAATCTGCACACCAAACCCCAGCAACACACATTTTAACCATGTCACGAATCTGCATAGGTAACCCCTAAAAAGTTGGGAAGAAAAAAAAACCCAATTCTTACCTCCGTGTTGGGCATCTGTGATATGCAATTTAAACAAGTACAAATGGCTGATGAGCCCAGAGTATAGTGTGGATGGTGCCCAATTCTACAGTCAAAATATTGAATTGCCACTGCCAGCCTTGATAGAAATGCATCCTCCTGGCCAGGTGTGGTGGCTCACGCATATAATCCCAGCACTTTGGGAGACCAAGGTGGGCAGATCACCTTTGGTTGGGAGTTCAAGACCAGCCTGACCAACATAGAGAAACCCCATCTCTACTAAGAATACAAAATTAGCCGGATGTGGTGGCACATGCCTGTAATTCCAGCTACTCAGGAGGCTGACGCAGGAGAATCCCTTGAACCTGGGAGGTGGAGGTTGTGGTGACTTGAGATCACACCATTGCACTCTAGCCTGGACAACAAGAGTGAAACTCTGTCTCAAACAACAAAAAAATGAAATGCATCCTCCTGACACTGGGAGGGTATGGGCAAGAGCATGCAGGTCAGTCACCACAAATCCATCAGAACCACGGCAGAGACAGGCCAGTTCCCAAGTCACTAGTATCATCAGAGCATGTGAAAAAATATATATTTTTGAGATCGTGTCCCACTCTGTTGCCCAGGCTGGAGTGCAGTGGTGCAATCAGGACTCGCTGCAAACTTGACCCCCTGGGCTCAAGTGATCCTCCCACCTCAGCCTCCTGAGTCGTTGGACTACAAGTATGTACCACCACACCTCATTTTGTAATTTATTTTTCGTCTCACTATGTTGGACAGTCTCATCTCAGACTCCCAGGCTCAAGCGATCCTCCTACCTTGGCCTCCCAAAGTGCTGTGATTACAGGCATTAGAGACAGTGCCCAGCCACACATGACAATATTAAGCACAGAATTAAAAGGAGCCTTGGAAATCATTTCTCAATTTCCTCTAATGAAAACAGACAAGTTAATGTATAAGTAATTAAGATTTTTCATTATGGTTCTATTCTCCCTCTAGCCCAGGGGTTCTTAACCAGGGCTGATTTCCCCTCTAAAGGACATTTGAACATGACTGGAGACACTGGTTGTGAAAAGTGGGTGGGTTGTCAAAACTCCTGGCCTCTAGTGGGTAGAGGTGAGGCATGTGGTTAAACATGCCACAGTACACAAGACAGCCCCCCACAGCAAAGAGTCATCTAGCCTAAAAAGTCAGTAGTGCCAAGGCTGAGAAACTCTGGTACATGCACAAAATATGGTTTCCAAAAACTAAACAAAATGGCATTCTTACTCACAAAGCAGTCATGTGCATAAATCGTATTTTATTAGCTGTGCAATACCACCTTCCATCCGTGACCTGTGTTTTAATTAAATTTTATAAACTACCAGTACAAATCAATACAATGCATTTTTTTTTAACACACCAACAGCTTGAATGTTCTTGAAGCTTTTAAACAACGAGTTTACTGTGGGCAAACAGAAGGCAAGGACTCAAAGAGATAATTAGCTCATGCATCTGGTGCTGGCTAATAAATAATTTTCACGTGAATATAGAAACCACTGTATGTGAACTGTATTTATTTTTTAAAAATAGTTTGAAATGGTAATAAAATGCAATTTTCAGAAGCATCTTGGTGATCGAGAACTGCTTAATTTAAAAAATAATTAAGTTACTTCCACCTGGCCTGGGGTGGATGAACATGTAGCAAAAACTTCCATCCTACTAGATTCTGGCAGATGGATTGATCTTTCACAAAATATATATATATTTTTTTCTCCATTTCTTCTATGGAAGCCAGAAGAAGCACCCTGCTTTGAAAAGAGATTGTTTGGTTCACTCGGTATGCTTTGGTTTATTTAAACAGGTAAGAAAGTAGTCCCCACTTCTGAGGAGAAAATGTGTTTTCTGACTTTTAGATACATTGCAGTATCACCAGTCTGAATAAGTTTCCTTTTCTGTCAAGAAGAAAGTGTCATTTTCTTTTCCTCCAGTGTTCAGTCACTCCTCTTCGAAAATACTCTTCAGATAAAGTGTCTATATGTCTCTATCAGTAGCCAAACCACTCCTTCCATATGACTCAAGGTCTGACATTCAGTGCCTGACAGAATCAGCATTTGGCATGTCCTTGGATGTGGAATCAGTCTGATGCTTTGAACTTTAAGATCTCATGATGCATCTATAAGTGTCTTCTTAAAAAATATAAAAACGTAGGCTAACTTGTGCCCTCTTGTAAGGCTTGCAAAGTGGTAATTAAATAAGCAGACTATAACTCACAAGCGAAAACAAAGTGCATTTTTAAATAAAAGAAACAAATGGAGACAGTTAAAATGACAACCAAAAAGATAAGCAGATGATTTTTGGTTAATCTTGGGGGAACACGACACGATATTTACAATTTCTTTTCTGGTCCATTTGATTTTCCTTAACGTACTCAAAAGGATCATAATAAGCATATCTCCTCTCCTGGTTTCTGATATTTTAGCATTCCTAGAAACTGAAGCCCTGCTGATAGGATCATTCACAGGAGGAGAAATACACTTGCCTTTCATGCTAATGAACTTTTTACAAAACTGCTCTTAAATCATGAATATTTCAATGAGCACACAAAACAATAGGTCTCAGTTTGCTGTAAACACCATCAAAACCTCCACACCATCAGGCTTATAATCTCACAAGCATTCTGCCTTTGTCAGACACTTCACAGGGTGCAACTGGGCTACTTTTGCAGGCAAAGTGGAGATTTTGATTTCTGCTGTAAAAAGCCAAACAGAGAGAAAATGGAGGCTCTCTCATCTCTGACACATCAGTCCAATTCTTTTGTCACCCTTTATGGAAGTCTTTTGTTTGTTGCAGCCACTTTCGGTAATTGCAAAAGGAAAGAAAAAAATGTCTCCCCTGATCCGTCCCTGGGAGCTCATGTTTTTTTGCTACTTGTCTTCTGTTTCTGTTTGCGGAGGTGCGCCTCTATCTCGTGCCTGAATACCAGCATGCCCAACTGTCCGTGGGATGCCTCGTTCATAGCCTTGGACTGCATACACATCTTGTACTGCTCTGGGGTCAGCTCATCCATGCAGCGCTTCTCATGCCAGAGGTGGAAGAGTCCTCGCACGGGTGTCCGCACCACTATGAGGTTGCTGTGAAGATACTTGCGGTAAAGGTGCACATCCTCTCCGCCCCAGCCTTTGATGTCCAGATCAAACCCACCTGTCAGGAGAGAACACACTGTTGAATCATGCTGCACTGACCTGCTTTGCTTCCCTGAGCTGCACAAGCACCAAACTTTTCATTAAGACATGATTGGGGGAATGTATGCTTCACCACCCCTCCGAGGTAGGAGAGTATCCACCAGAGTCAGAGGCCCTGGGAAATCCCCAACAAAGACAACTATCATGGCGGACAGCACCAACTTCTTGAGATGACAGGACCGCCAATAAAATTCCAAGCATTTGCCTGCATTAAAGAGTTATCAGCGATGCTAATGAGTAGCCCCAGACTTGTGGTTAATGGGTATAAAAATAAGATTTAGCATTCAGTAGCACAATAAGATGACTTACTGCAATTATCAGTCAGCTATTGTTAACAATAATTTATTGCATATTTAAAAATAACTAGAGGAGTGATATATATGATACCTATTTGAGATGATGGGTACCCCCAATGACCCTGATGTGACGATTACACATTTTATGCCTGCATCAAAACATATGTATCCCATAAATATATGTACCTATAATAATTAAAACTAGAGCCTGAAACCTCTGAAGGCAAATTCGTATGCTTCTGCTAGGATGTGGTCTTCTCGTGTCATTGCAAACAGAGAAGAAACCAGGGGCTTCCGGTGTGATGGAGTGAAAGAGGGTCTCAGTGTGAAGAAGTCACATCCCCTCAAAGCACTATTCACTTCATAGGCTGCAGTGGTCCTGAAAAGCTGCATGTGATTCCACAACAGGCTGGTGAAATCAGTGATCTTTTTTTTTTCTTTTTTTCCCCCCATTTATTTATTTATTTTATTGCATTTTAGGTTTTGGGGTACATGTGAAGAACATGCAAAATTGTTGCATAGGTACACACGTGACGGTGTGATTTGCTGCCTTCCTCCCCATCACCTACATCTGGCATCTCTCCCCTTGCTATCTCTCCCCAGCTCCCCATCCCCCACCATCCCTCCCCTATTTCCCCCCAACTGACCCCAGTGTGTAGTGCTCCCCTCCCTGTGTCCATGTGTTCTCATTGTTCAACACCCGCCTATGAGTGAGAACATGCGGTGTTTGATCTTCTGCTCTTCTGTCAGTTTGCTGAGAATGATGGTTTCCAGGTTCATCCATGTCCCTACAAAGGACCCAAACTCATCGTTTTTGATGGCTGCATAATATTCCATTGTGTATATGTGCCACATTTTCCCTATCCAGTCTATCGTTGATGGGCATTTGGGTTGGTTCCAGGTCTTTGCTATTGTAAACAGTGCTGCAATGAACATTCGTGTGCACGTGTCCTTATAGAACAGAAATCAGTGATCTTAAAGGGACTGGCCTCACAGTCAATCCTGAAGTTATACTCAAAGAAAAACCTCATGTCAAGGCAACAGTTTCTTGAAGTGGAAATCTTTAGAAAAAATTTAGCTTTTTATTATTTTGAGACAAAGTTTTGCTCTGTCGCCCAGGCTGGAGTGCAGTGACACAATCTCAGCTCACTGCAACCTCCACCTCCTGGGTTCAAGCAAGTCTTTTGCCTCAGCCTTCAGAGTAGCTGGGATTACAGGCATGCACCACCATGCCTGGCTAACTTTTCTATTTTTTAGTAGAGATGGGGTTTTGCCATTTTGGCCAGGCTGGTCTTGAACTCCTGGCCTCAAGTGAGCCGCACACCTCAGCCTCTCAAAACACTGGGATTACAGGCATGAGCCACCACACTCAGCCTAGAAAAAAATTTAAATGTCCTATTTGGAAAGCTGATTTTCACATAACCATTTAGGAATATTTCTCTTATGTGTGTCCAAGAACATGTGCTGTGAGCTGCTGAATGTCTGCCGGGCACCCACCACACAGAGACTGGCATCCCGGGTGCTCTGCTCCTTCTAATAGGACTTGACTTCAACTTGTTTTTTTCTTTAACTTGGTGATTTCCTTGGGGATTCTGTAGTCCTTGCAGTTCACTTTATCTCCAAGCAAAACAAACATAGGGTTACCGCTCCTCCCTGATTTTAAAATGAGACGTGTTAGCACTTGGACCTGACGGGTAGTTGCCTAGAAGCCAGTGAGACCAGCAGCTCCCAGGGGACCTGGGGATGGGACGCTCCAGGCCACCCTGAGGGCAGGGTCCCTCTGACTCCATAGAGTCTCTGGGTCCAGTCTGAGCACCTGCACCTCAGATCAAGGTTTCTGCCCTGTTCATTCAAACCCAGGTCATGCATAATCCGCAACTCTATCCCTTCAGAGATCCAAGAGTCAGTATTACTATGGAAAGGTGAGGTGGCATTTCCAAGGGGAACAGGGGGCTCTATATTCTCATCCTGACTCTACCTCCCACCTGCTGTGAGGCCTGGGAGGGTCTCCTAACCTGAATCCCAAGGGCGTTTTTTCTCTGAGCTCTAGAAATCCACAGGCATGTGCATGTGCGTATATGCATGTGTATGAGTGTGTGTGCATGTGCACATCTGTGTGTATGGGTGTGTGTGCATGTGCACATCTGTGTGTATGAATATGTGTGCATGTGCACATCTGTGTGTATGAGGGTGTGTGCATGTGTGTATATGCATGTGTATGAGTGTGTGTGCATGTGCACATCTGTGTGTATGAATGTGTGTGCATGTGCACATCTGTGTGTATGAGTGTGTGTGCATGTGCACATCTGTGTGTATGAATGTGTGTGCATGTTTGTGTGTTGACAGCAACTGCACATTCAGTCAGAGCTTAAAGTCACATCCGGAATTTTGAAGGTTAGCAGAGAGAATTTTGGGTATTTTTGAGTATGTGTTTCCCCCCCAATTCCCCTATTTCCCTCATACTCTTACTGGGAAACTTAGGATGTTCTATAGGAGGCCAGGCGCGTTGGCTCACTCCTATAATCCCAGGACTTTGGGGGCTGAGGCTGGTGGATTACTTGCAGTTAGGAATTCAAGATCAGCCTGGCCAACATAGTGAAACCCTGTCTCTACTTCAAATACAAAAATTAGCCAGGCATGGTAGGTAGCATGCACTTGTAGTCTCAGCTACTCAGCAGGCTGAGCCAGGAGAATCACTTAAACCCAGGAAGTGGAGGTTGCCGTCAGCCAAGATAGCACCACTGCACTCCAGCCTGGGTGACAGGGCAAGGCTCTGTCTTAAAAAAAAAAAAAAAAAAAAAAAAAAAGGATATTCTACAGCAGAGGACAGAGAGGCCGGGACCCTCCTGGGAGGAGGCCCTGGAGGAGTTGCTGCAAAGCTGCCGGTATGCAATAAGCAGCCTTTACTCTCAGATTGTGTCTTATCTGGGGTGACTGAGAGGTGCTGGTGGAGATTACAGGGGCTAAAATGCCACCCACCTCCAAGCCTCCTCTTGGTCCAGCCCTTAGTCTATGACATAAGGAACAGCATTTGGTTTTTTGTAGTGTGAGGTCTTGCAATGTTGTCCAAGCTGGTCTTGAACTCCTAGCCTCAAGCGACCCTCCCTCCTCCAACCTCCCAAAGCACTGGGATTACAGGTGTGAGTCACTGTGCCTAGTCTGTAATAGCTTTTTTTTTTTTTTTTTTTTTAAAGAAAGGCAATGACACCACCTTCCCCACCAGAGTCCTTGGAAACCCAACTTGATTCCTTTAAGGCCTGCATGGGCCAGTGGCCTCTGGGTGGCAGTAGAGAGGCAGATTTGTCCTACCTATATTGATGAAGTCTGACCGATACTGACACGTCATCCCAAATCCAAAGTCTCTCCAAAATCCAGTTTCCTTCTTTATGACCTGCAAAAAAAAAAAAACCACTGTCATTTCAGGGGGAAGTTTAGGGTGGACAAAAATAGAGTGTTCCCAAACTCCTGTGAACCACTGTGGAGTGTGGAGTGATAAACAGCTCATCCCATCAGTGATAAATAGCCTCAACTGGTGCAGGAAATGCAGACGGATTTGAGTCCTTGCAGAGTCAGGAATACAGTACACATACCAGTCCCAAAACAAGGCCTTGTGATTTCTGGCACCTCTAGCTGGAATGTTTCTAGGGTATAGGTAGGAAAACACACACACAAACACACACACGCACAATCAAAAACAAACTGGGAGAGTAAGTTTTTGTTTGAGCAGTGCCGTGGAAAAGCCACCTACGTGCCTGGCCTCACACCAGTGCCAGTGAGAATTGGAAGCTTGGGCCCCTCACACAAGCCTGGGCAGTGATCCAGAAAAGGGCTCAGGAAGTTGAGAAAAGGGATAGAGAACAACTCCGAATTCAGCTGCCCTGGCACGGTCCACACACAGCACTCCCCCAGGGAATAAAAAGAAATGTCTGAGAGACTTCAGTATGTTACCAGCTCTCCAGCTCTGCTAACTCTCGTTTGCTGAGGGAAAGGGCACTGAAAGTCCAGGTTCTGAAGAAAGACTCTGTCCATTCATCTTCATGCTATTTTAATACCAAACTGCTCTCAAAAGCATCTACCGTGGTGCCAGCCTGCAGGGCTGTGGAGAGGCCATCCAAACACTGCCCAGTCTCTTACTCTGCAAGTAAATTTCCAGTATATTTGCTGAAACAGCAAGGCTTCTAAAAAACCCATGTGTACATATGTATACACACGTATTCAGCTGAGGAAACTCTAGGAACAGTTTTGAGATTTTAGTTGTTTTTCATAATTCATTCTTGCGGTTAACATAAGGTGCCTGGATGAAAGGACAACCCTACAGCCCCTCCCCTCGGAAAAGGCAGAGAGGGCAGTGGCAGTTTTCTCTCCCCCACCATGGATTTCCATATTTTTTGGGGGGGACATCTGGCTCTGTTCATTTAGAAACAGTGCATGACGTGGGAGAAGCACCAGAGTCTTGTCTCAGTGTGACCACTGGCTTGCTTTTTCACTTCAGGCAGGCTCCTTCACTTCTTCATGCATCTACTTTTTTCCCTATATAGGGAGGAGGCTGAGCTCACTCATCCCTTAGGTGTCTTTCAGCTTTCACATCCACGTGTTTGTCATATCACTCTTATTCCCTCTTCCCAAAGTTTCACGGCAGGCTAATTATATTGGATAAATGCCCTGCACAAGGGCTGATGAATCTGAAACATTTTTTCCCCCCATTTGTTTATTTTATTGCATTTTAGGTTTTGGGGTACATGTGAAGAACATGCAAAATTGTTGCATAGGAACACACATGGCAGTGTGATTTGCTGCCTTCCTCCCCATCACCTACATCTGGCATTTCTCCCCTTGCTATCTCTCCCCAGATTCCCACCCCCCACCCTCCCTCCCCTATTTCCCCCCAATGTACCTGTCTTAATTTCACTACAACCTAGATGTCACTTCCATGATGTCACTTACATTCCCCAGGGAATGGGGACGTGCTGCCACTCTCCCTTGCAAGCATCAGTACTGCCCAAGGAAAGTAAGGACCAAGAGAGGTTCTGTTGGTTAAAGCTGTCCCTAGCAAGTATTCTCGTATCATTATACAGTATCTCCCAAATGACAAGGCAATTTCATTAGTATCAATTGGAAAGATTTTGCAAGGCAGGAAAGTCTGGAAAAGTCTCCATGGAGTAATTTTTTTTTTCTTTTTTTGAGATGGAATTTCACTCTGTTGCCTGGACTGGAGTGCAATGGTACAATCTGGGCTCACCGCAGCCTCTGCCTCCCAGGTTCAAGTGATTCTCCTGCCTCAGCCTTCCGAGTAGCTGAGATTATAGACATGCACCACCACGCATATCTAATTTTGTATTTTTAGTACAGACAGGGTTTCTCCATGTTGGTCAGGCTGGTCTCGAACTCCCAACCTCAGGTGATTTACCTGCCTCCGTCTCCCAAAGTGCTGGGATTACAGGCATGAGCCACCACACCCAGCCAGAGTAATTGTTTAAAAATGGATTTTGTTCTATCCCTACCTTACCAGGTACACGGTTTCTGTTACAGCAAATGACCTAATATTCCTTCCGCTGGCAAACTAGACAAATTCTCCAAGCTTACGGGTAAAAATGAAGTCAAAGAGAAATGCCATTATTCAAACTTGAGATATTTGGCTGAGGTATACAAGGAATTTAAAAAGGAACACGTCAAACAGGAAAAACAATGGGCCAAGCCTTGCGAAGACAGACAAGAGGGAGGCATCCAGAGGCTGGGCTGCGTTGTTGTAGGGCCTGACAAAGTTGAACAAGGTGAACGGTGACCCTCACATGGGAACAGCATGACAGAGGCAATCTGGCTTATGAGCTGGGGAGTGAGCTATGTAAACATTTATTAAAGTTGGTTTGGAAGTTGGCAAGCCACAAAATGCCACTATCTGAAGAGCTTGTTAAAATTTAGCCCTTTGTGGAAACTGATTTGATCATGCCCACAGCATTTAATTTCAGGGCCTGACGGAGTTCCCTTAGTGGATGTTCCACCACCCACAGCTGTGCTAGGTCACTAACTGGAAGGACGCTCTCAATGGGCAGTCTGGCCGAAGTGTGTGCCCTCAAGCACACAACTGATTACATCACGTTCCCATGCAAAGCCCTGTAACAGTTCCCTAATCCTCAGCCCTATCTAAGGCCCATTTTCTGCCCCTTGGACTCTCCATGTTCACCGATCTCCAAGGCCAGATACTTGCAGTCCGTCCTGCCTGGGTCACCCTTCACCCACTCATCACTAAGCTCTGCTCCAATGTCACTGCTCAGATGGTCGTCCTGATCCTCCTGGTCTGTGTTATGCATCTGCCCCCCAATGCCACATACTGCACTGTCTCCCTGGTTTGTTTTCTCTATAACAATTCTGTCTTCTGAAATGATCCTGTTGATGCATCTGCTTCTCTGTTTGCTCTCTTCAGCCATCAACCATGGTGAATGTAAGCTCAGGACTTGGTCTTGTTCACGGCTGCATCTCCAGCACACAGAACACACTGTCCAGCACACAGCAGGCACTCAGTAAATACTTCCTCATTGAATGAACCAAGAGCAGTCATAGGGCAGAGATGATGCCAAGCCAGTGGAAATGGACACGTTGCAAGTAGGAGGTGCTTGCCAGCAAGTGGCCCAACAAAGGCCTGGGAAATGCAGTGGCAAGAACCTCTCAGAATCCTGTGGTTCTCGACCCAGGGACAAAAATGTTTTCAGCTCCCTGGAGTCTAAGGCCAAGTGTGTGACTTCTTAGAAACTTTGCTGCAGGTGTGAATAGCTTCACCACTCTGCTCAAGCACTGACAAGTGATGCACCAATGATGTCTGCTACGACAGAAGGGGAAGGAAACCTAAGATGAAGGGGACACTTTTAAAAGAAAAACATCTCTTCCTCCTATCCTGGATTTCACTGATCTGCTTTCAAGTGCTATCCTAATTTTATTTCTTTTGAGACGGAGTCTTACTCTGTCGCCAGGCTGGAGTGCAGTGGCACGATCTTGATTCACTTCAACCTCTGCCTCCTGGGTTCAAGTGATTCTCATGCCTCAACCTCCTGAATAGCTGGGAATACAGGCATGCACCACCATGCCCAGCTACGTTTTTATATTTTTAGTAAAGAAGGGACCATGTTGGCCAGGCTGGTCTCAAACTCCTGACCTCAGGTGATCCATCTGCCTCAACCTCCTAAAGTGCTGGGATTATAGGCATGAGCCATGGCGCCCAGCCTGCTATCCTCATTTTCTAAAATGTCCTCTGATGGCTGGCCTCCTCTCAACTCTCTCTGCAGCACCTGCTCCCTCCCCACCTGAGATCCCAGCAGAGTACTACAGGGCATGAATATACCACAAAAGGACAGTTGTCAGCCCTGCTTTCTCACAGGAAGTTTCCAGAGCCACAGCTCTGTGGGCGATTCACGTGACTGGGAAGATTATTTTCTATTAGGACTAAAACACAAAGCACAAATCGGCATCTCTCCCCCAAGATGTGGGAAGACAGTGGCCCTGCAGCTGCATGTGAGCTGGGGCTGCGGTCAGCGCCCATCTGGTTTAATGGTGCCTACTTGGACACCTGCCCATGAAGCAATCTGGACCCTAAAATAAAATAAACAGCAACTACTCAGGCGGAGCAGCACCTTCTCTAAATCAGAGAGTCTCCCAGGCACCTAGGCTGTGTCTGGCCCATCTTACATTCATAGCAACGCCTGTGAGCAGGGCCAGATTATGGGCAAATGACCCATGCAATTCCACAGGCCCCCATGCATGAAAGGCCCCATACCTGCTGTCAGCATCATGAAATTCATAATACTTTTTGAACAGGGGCTCAAATTTTGATCTTGCACTGGGTTACTTCAATTACATAGCAGTTTCTGGCCTGGGAGGAGCAGACTCCCTGAGCTGCAGTGCTGTCTGTGTCCAGGCTGGGTGCCCCATGCCCTAGGCTGTCCAATCCTTACTATCTGGGCCCTCAGGGCTCAGTGATCATGCTGCACAGGGTGCCAGGAGGGCTCCATGCCCTCTTCTTGTGGCCTCTTGGTATGAAGGTAGAATGACTTGCCCAAGATCATTCAGCCAACATAGCTAAGCCCAGAACAATTCTAACACTCTGGAGACAGTTCCATTTCTTGAGAAATAAGGTATTCTAGAGCCATAGCTTTCAAAGAATCATTTAAGAACAGACTCAAAGGCCATCTCCTCCCAGATGTATTTGCATTCACTACAGTTTCCTGTAAGTCTTTTATAGGTGTCTGCATAAAAAACACATTGTGTTTCCTAAGGGAATCTTGCTAGACAAGGAGTCATCCAGGTTCTCCCATTTCCAGGAGCCTATCATCTAAAACTAGATACCCTTGTTGTCCCCGAAAGCACTTTGAGGGAAAAGAATGTATCCCCTGTTGCCCAGCA